ATTTCTCTATTACTTTGCACTCAACTTGTGCTCTCTTTTAGTTTGAAATCTGTAACCAATTTTTCAGAAAGCGCATTGCGAAAAATCATGTAGAGAGAAATCAGTGCAGTAGTCCAATTCGAACACACTACGTAGGAGTAGGAGCATTGGTGGCCCGCATCCGTCGGTTTACCGAAATCAGAAGACATCTGGAGAAGCGCTCCTTCAGGTACTGGTGCGCGCAGGTTCATGAATCAATAGATAAACAAAAAACTAGTGGTCAGTTTGAATTCGATTACGGGGTTTTGATTTTTCGTTATTTTGCACAGTTGATTCAGGCAAATATAAAATAGACTGACGCGGTTCTATTAATTTATATATTTCACGAGGTGATAAGATTGACCGACAAATCAAAACCCCCATCGACACCTAATCTTTCAACCTCCACCTTGATTGGGTAAATACTGCCAGTTGACACCAGTACTCCATCTGAAATGGAGGTTCCCCGGAAAATAAGTCATCTCAAACGGCATAAGGCTTCCGGCCCCGACGGGCTGTCCCCATCGGTTTTTAAGGATGAAGGTTCAGACTTGGTTTCGGAGTTAAAATATCTCCTGGGCTCAGTGTGGGAGAGAGAAGAGGTTCCAACGGAATGGTGTGAATAGGTGATCATACCGATTTACAAGAAAGGCGACAGGTCCTCTTGTGAAAACTACAGAGGAATTAGTTTAATCAACATGGTCTCCAAACTTCTCGCTGGTGTTATACTCCGTCAATTGTCTGCCGCACGTGAAGGGTGCACGCGTGAGAACCAGGTTGGTTTCAGACCCGGCCGAGGTTGTCTCGACCACATCTTCACTCTTCGTCAAATTTTAGAACACAGACACTCCTTTCGTAGACCCACCATTTCTTTCTTCCTCGATCTGAAAGCGGCTTTCGACTCAGTCGACCGCTATAAACGCTGGCTGTGCCTCGCTGTAAAGGGTGTGTCCAAGAAGTTTATTTCAATCTTACAATCCATTTATACTAATAACCGAAACCGAGTCCCAGCTTACGGCACTTTTTCACCCGAGTTCACCACGGAAAGTGGTGTTAGACAGGGTTGTCCTCACTATCCGTTTCTATTTAACTTTGTCATAGATTTAATTCTTGAAACAGCCCTATCCTCGTGCGGCATTGATTTACTCCAAGGTGACAGACTGTTTGATCTAGAGTTTGCAGACGACATTGGGCAACTAAGTGAAGATCCAGGTAAATTCCAAGCTTTTCTGTATAACTTGAATGCCAGTGTAGCCATGTTCGGTCCAGATGAAGTGTCAGCTCGGATACAGACGGCTCGGTTGGTATTTGGCAACTTGAGACATTTGTGGCGCCGTTGCGACATCCGGTTGTCTGTGAAGAGTCGAGTGTATGCCGCAGCAGTTCGGCCAGTTCTGTTATACGGTGCAGAAACTTGGCCATTAAGAAAACAGGACAAAAATAGACTGTCGGTGTTTGAACACTGGTGTCTACGCAGTATTGCACGAATCTGGTGGGGCAGCCGGACGAACAATGCTGAGGTTAGACGCAGAGTTTTGGGTATCCTTGGTCGCCCACTTGAGCAAGTGATCAACCTGCATAGATAACGTTGGTCGGGNTCGGGGCATGTGTTACGCATGCCCCTAGATAAGTTGCCACAGCGGGCGATGTTCGCCGAGGCAAGTAGTGGGTGGAAGAAAGTCAAGGGTGGTCAAGCTAAGACCTGACATGAGGGTAGGAAAACCCTGAACAGGGGACTGGGTCACATAGGTCCCGTTAGGCTCCCGGGCTGGGGACCTCGAGAAGGTCGTACCCGATAGTTAGAGACACTGAATGATAAGGCGGGGTGTCGTAAACAGTGGCGTTCTCTCATCTCCTTCATTTCTTTGCAGCCATAGTTTACTGGAGTTCTCAATTCTCTCTTTGACTCTACCTTCAACTTTCCTGTTCTTCTCCTATTATTCATCTAAATGGGCAGCCAAAAGACCAACCAAAACCGGCGCACGAAAGTGGATGGTCAATGGTTGTTCAAATTGAAGTGACATAAAAAACAGTATGTGATGAAAAATCAATGTCCACATTACCCAACTAAAACTTTCACAATTTAGTGCACATTAAAGTCGAGGATCACCCTCAAATAATTTACCGTGTCACATGTCAATAACCGGCGAAATTCAAATTCCGACCTTCGATTCATATTTACAGCTCATTTGAAAACCAATCTGAGTGAAGTGGATTGCGACTTAAGGTTCACTGCTCCCTCGTGTGTGCGTGCGCGCAATCAGAAAACCGGGCAAATTCAAAATGAACCGATCTTAAAACAGCACGGCATAACGTTCTGCCCAATAACGCCGGACGTGAGAGTAACAGGAAAGAATATCTGGACGAAAAAAACAGGAACATTGGAGCGAGCCAGATAACGAGCGGGACGAAGTTAAAACGAAAACCATGTCCAGACACGAGTGTTAGAACAGTGTAACTGCTGCAGTAGCTCTAAAACAGTCCGAATACGATAAGGCTGAATTCGAGTGGTGCCAAGTCCTAGTAAGATCATGAATGCAGGAGATGGAAGGTCAAGAAAACGTGGGAGGACGAATGGAACAAAATGATTTGTGACGATGAAAAACACTCAATTTGGATGACCCGAATGGTTGGGTTATTATTGGCATAACTTTTGTCAGGAGTCTAATGTTTTCACAACTATCGCGGTGAATCCGTACTAATAAGGGGTGAATGTTTTGCTGGAGGAAAATTTCAACTGGATATTGTGGAGGGCACTCAAAACGGTAAAATCATACGTTAAAAGCCGGGATAATCATATAGGTTCCGTCATTTGTGGAGGGCATGGCATTAATGCAGTTTCCCAACAAGATAGACGTCCAATTCTTGCGTCTCACCTAGTCAAATCTAAGTCGTTTGTCTGCGACATTCAAACACTCAACTGCCAGGAGCTAGACCTGATTTATATCCAGTGTAAACGATTGGAGACCAGTGTATGGGGGAAACAGATTTTTGACACTGGTGCAGAGAAAACGACAGTAATCATAAAGGAATGAGTGTCATCGGAGGTGAGGTTTTAGGAAAGATTAAAAGAAAGAATACCGAACCTTTTTATCAGGATGGCTGAAAAAACTAGGAGTATTGTAATTGTTGAAGAAAGATTTTATCTTCGCGTGCTGTTGGTTAGAATGAATAGCGTGTCTCACAACCTCCAAACGTTATTTCTGAGGTCAACTAAAAACGGTGCTTGTATAGCAATACTATTTGCGTTTTTAATAGAGTACGGTGAAACACAAAAATGGTGTTGTTATTCCTGTTATTTAATGTTTTCCACTGCAACTATTGAACCTTGTTTACACTCCGTTTTGTAGCCTAATACGCCCATCCCATGTTATAGTTATTATTTTAGTGGCGTTGGCACCATGCTTGTCCGCAAGGATCTTTTAAAACTGTAAGAAAATTCAGATTTCCATGTCGAAAAATCAGTGAGATAAATGAACTAGGGTAGTTGTCCTTATTTGCATTCCACGAACTTTTGCTAATTACTTTTATTCTTGTACAAATATCGCGAGTGTGGGAATGAGCTAGCTTCATGAATATCTCTGATGGAAGGTCACACATGGCCAACCAACTAAGGTTGTATACGCTCCAGTAATTACGAAATCAGAATAAAGATAGATTGTCGGTGTTTGAACACCGGCAGTTTACGTCTACGCAGCGGGTCATGAATCTCGTGGGGGAAAAAGGACAAGGAATGCTGCGATCAAGCACAGAGTTTTGGGTAACCGCGGTCGCACACTGGAACAAATGGTAGACTTCGTTGGTTGAGACATGTGCTGCGCATGTCGCCAAATAGGTTACAAACAGTGCATCATAATCATCATCATCACTGTACGGCGTAATACAGTGAAGCGAACTTCACTGATCGCTGCCAAACTCATAGTGCATACAAGGTAAGTGAGAATATGTAAGGAAAATCGGGATTGGACTTCATTTTAGGGACGGGAAAAGAAAGCGAACCTCTATGGTCAACACACAGAGTACACAGCTCAACTGTGCATACATACAATTTCAAGCATTCTGATGTGATAAGAAGTGATAGCATGATCGCCATTGCTGTCGGTTCGCAGCCATGAACTTCATTGTTCTCAACCATGCGATTTCGGAGTCTTTTGAACCCAAACCCGGAAGACAGACACATACTCTACCTAATCGCTCTGTGCATTTCTTCATGCCATATCTGTACATCATCTGCTGGCCTCAATGTGACTTTCTCCAGTCCTAATTAACGGAGTCTACTGAGCTGGATTCGATGCGATAGCGAGTTCTTGTTTGAGGTATTCTCAAACATCCGACGACTTGCTTCTAAGTTATTAACCCGCTCACTCCATCCCACTTGGGGTAGACTACGTAGGCATCGATTGTCGAAGACTGCTAAACGATGGATGTCTTCTACCCGCAAAATCAAGGTCTCACAACCGGAAAGTAGAACTGATCGTACAGTGGTGCAGTATACGCGACTTTTCACCTTCAGTGAAAGGTCACCTCGCCGCCACAGGTGTTTAAGTCCTGCGTATGCTGCTCGAGCCTTGGAAATGCGGGCGGTTATCTCCTTTGGTGCGCTACCGTCGTTGGTCACGCAGCTACCTAAGTACGAGAAGCAGTCAACTTCAGCTAATTCCTCATCGTTTAGTTTCAGAGTATAACTCGGCGACACCCAGTCTTGTAGCATCACTGCCTTTTGAAGGTGCAAACTGTGCGCGATGTTTGCCGAGGTGGAAAAAGCCCACATGGTCAAACTAAGACTTGGTATAAAGGTGTGAAAACCCTGGCCCAGAGATTTACTCATATAGACCGCGTTAGGCTTACTGAATGGGAACATCAGGATCAGTGTAAGTAACAGTTAGAGAGGGATATGGCTGCCGCTGAATATGAGGGCGTTGGAGGAAAGATGAAAAATTTTCCATTTCTAGACAAAGCAGAGTTACTTCTACGTTATAAATCGATCACAACTGTATGCTCTCATGATGTTAGGGAGACAGCAATCATAAAAAAATTCAGTTTCAGAGCATATTCGAATTGACTATTAGAAGGAAATTTCACAGCTATCTGCGAATAATGCGCTTAGTATACACTGAACAGGCGGATACTAATTCTGCATAGTATCGAGTGTGATTTGTGGAGTTCAACACGAGCTTGGTATTTCTCTTGATTTGGCTGTATTGTGAAACCGAAATATATAATGTATATGATGAATTCTTCATTGATTTGAATGGGATGCAATGGAAGACCAGTTACCGCCAAAAAGACCCTCATTTTGGGTGGGGTTAATTTTTTGATCACATCAGTGAGGAGGCTGATGCGGTTGTGCATGGTCAACAAGATGCCAGGATCCTGACTAACGACGACGATATTGCCGGCAAATTTCAGGTCAGTAATTCACGTGTCGGGACCGATTTGCACTAGGAGATATTCAAGAAGGGCACGGTGCATTGTTCAGTCCACCGTAGGATCAAAAAACATTGGCGGGTAGCCCTGATGAACACCAGAGTTCAAGGTGAACTCTGTCGACTCTTTCCCCAGTTGTACCGTTCCGTAGCAAAGCGTTGCGGTGGAACGATTTTATGAAATCCATCAGTTTTTCTGGCCAACTGTCTGCTTCCGAAATACTCGGTATGGCCTCCATGTGGACGGGGTTGAAGGCAGTGCAGAAATCGACGCAACAGGTTGTGGCTGCTTGTTTAATCTCGTAGCAAAGTTCTAAAACCATGAGTAGGTCTACGATTGGTTCAACACGCGGCGGAAACCGCCACGGTTTGGATGGAGGCGAGCACCTTACACTACAGTGAAGTGGGTTAAAAAGAAAATCGAAACGAGTTTGATCACTATATTAATGATACTACACCGTAATTTTTGCAGACTGTCTCGTCGCCTTTTTGGAAATTGGGAACACGACTGGAGACTGGGAATACCTCTGTATTACAGATGAAGTGAAAAATACATGTGAACAGATAATAATGTATTAGGAACAGCGTTCTTCATACTAACATTCTGAATGACTTTTCACACAAATTAGTTGATAATTGGGGTGAAAAATTCGAGTCGCACAAATAACCGCAAATAACCTGGCTACACAAACCTGATTAATAGACCGTTCTGCTCCGCGCCAAAATATCAAATGCGTGTACGGTAGACGGCGTACTGGACGTGACACACGAGAAGCACATCCGGCCAAGGTAAGTGAATGTGGATTGTTTTTTCCAGAGTTTAAACCCAATCCAGTCCAACCCCCGAGCAACTGACCCGGAGCAATCACAGCGCGTCCAGCAGAGCCATCCTCAGCAGCCCAGCGCCGTAAACCACAGTCGTTGGAGCCATCATATGCTTCGTTCAACGAGACCTCTAAGCTGAGATGAGCACGGGATGGACCCCAAATTGCTTTAAATCGGAATCGGGGATGCGTTGAGCGCAAATGAATCAAGAGAGCTTCCAGACCTGTGGATGATGACGAACGATAATGCTATTATGGCATTCAACACATTAAGTTTCATGAAAAAACACAACAGAAACAATTAAACTTGCAATCTTGTTTGCGTATGACAAAGAAATGTTGCCTCATTGAAATCTGAGAAACACTTGTATTCCTACGCGTAATCATTTGGCACTGTCTTTTAGAGCGAATGAGCGTGATTTTCAATAATCAATCAAAAACAAACAAGTTCAGCGTTACATTGTTAGATTAAGCAATAAGTTGTTGGGGTGCAGGGATCACGTGCTACCATACCTTGGCACTTTGAGTGAGGATACCATGGAATTGTCACAGGCAACGACGACTAGCGAAGGGCGACTGCATACGCAAAGGGTGTCGTGGGAATAAGCTGCAAAATGATTCCGACGAGCAGACAGAGTAGGACGAGGTAGTAACACAGCCAGTTTCCAAGGTACGAAAGACCGTGAAGTTCAATCCTAATTTAACATCCCAAACATGAATAAACGCGAGCACATAACACAGTGAGTATTCTCAAGATTAACAGTTTGCGCAGCTCGCGAGGAGTGAGCATTTGGGACAGTAAGCAAAAATGATAAACGTACCAGGTTATACGCTGTTTTCAAATGCAAGCAAGCTGAATGCGTACGTGGCATAAACTGAACACCAGCACCAACTACTGATAAACACACAACTACATCAAACTCGCATGATCTAGTCCCAACCCCCTAGTCAACCATCACACCGGCAGAGGCACAAGACTTTAAGATACGTTTCAAGTGGGCGCTCTATATAGCATTAACGGTCTGACATTTTGAGCACTCTCTAACAAGTAATGCAAACGTTATTGACAGGAACGGTTTGTATTGACCGGAGTGAACTAATGAAGCCGAAAGGAACTCTAGGAAAACTGTCACTTACATATCAGACCCAAAATGGAACATACACTAAGTCATCATACTCAGTTCGCTCGGAGAAGACTAGTTCAAATGGACGTTTCTATGATAATAACGGCATAGAGGAAAAAAACAATCTAATTCCTAGTGTGAAGGAGAACAATTGGTACGAACAGTAACAAGACAATCCAACTTGATACTAGTGAGAGTATCAATTGAGAGCATCCTTAATGACCATCTTAAAACGCAAGGCGAACAATGATAAACAATCATTTATCAAAGATTAATTTGTGCCAGGTAGATAACTAGCTTAAATCAAACGGCACAAAGTGCCAAATGAATGTGGATGAAGACACGATGTGCGTACACATCCTTGTCGAGACGTGCCTCGATGTCGGAACGGAGTGTTTCTAAGATGAATCCGAACGGACATCCGTAACGGGTCTGGGTCAGCACTTCAGTATTATGTGTACTTCTCGAACAATACACGTGACACCTTTGATTTAAAAGCATCTTCCCACCAGTATGACATTTCAGGGTACGCATTACCTGTACATTCCGAACATCATATTCCACCTTCCTCGCCCTTAAAGTACAATACTACCGCCGATTATTACGAAACGAAAAACACTATTGGGAAGGGTGGTAGTTTGAAATCAACGAACCCCGTGGTTCTTCACTCAAACGCTTGCCAGAATCAGTTTAATC